AGCTAGACCCCTGCGGCTGGCAGGCGACAGGTTCCCAGGGCTCGGGGGCTGCTTCCCGGCTGGGCAGCTGCTCCCACAGGATGCTGAGCTAGCTCTGGGACCCCCCAAGAGAAGAGCTGGAGCCACCGACACTCAGCAGCCCCTGCTGCTCCCTGGGGGCTGCGATAAGGGGGGCTGGGGGTGCTACCACAGCAGGCCTGCCTCTTGCGGCCTCCAGAGCGCAGGCGAGTTCCTACAGGGCATAAAACCGGAGTCTGGGTCGAGATCTTGCGGGCTGGGGTGTGGAAGCCGTTTGTCGCTATGCACCCCCTCCCCCCCTCTATCTGTCTGGCTCTGAAACGTTTCCATCTCCGCTAGAATTGATTTTGCTGGGTGTAAATCACTCCAGGCGCTGGGATGCAATTGCCAGGCTTGGAGAGTTACATTTCAGGAGAACGGGGATGGGACAGCTGCAAATGTTACTGTGTTTGGGGGGGAAGCAGGAAGGGGGTGGGAAACGAAGGGAAGAGGAAATGGGATTCGTGTTTGTTGGAAGTGAGCCCCAATAAACATCCAATCAAAAGCTGTGTCTACATTGCACGCTTCTGGCACAAGGACAGCAGGTTTGCCTCTCCGGCCTTCGGGTCTGGCTCTTCTCTGTTCACCGGGGGGGCCCCCACAGATCAGCCCGGTACAAATAATGTACGGGAGCCGGCCCAGAGACCTTGGGCACACAGAGGGTTCAGCTGAATCGGAGCCACCTTGTGTCTAACACTCTGCACAAGGACTTTAACCAGGGAGGGGGCAAGGGCTGTTTTCCATCGGCTAAGAATCGCAGCATCCTGGCTGTGTCTACAGTGCCCGCTTCTGGTGCAAGGACAGCAGTTCTTGCGCAAAAACTTGCCGGCTGTCTACACTGCACGCGTGTTCTTGCACAAGTAAATTTACAGTAGAGCGTCGGAAAACAGAAGAGTTACTCCTCTCCCCAGGAGGAATAAGCCCTCTTGCACAAGGAGGTGTAGACAGGCAACATGACTTTCTGGTTAAATTGGCCAGCAGAGCTTTCTTGCGCAACAGAGCGTCCACACTGCCACGGACGCTCTTGTGCAAAAGCACATGGCCGTGCGGACGTGCTCTTGGGGATGATTTTTTGCACAAGAATTCTTCCGCAAAACAGCTCTGGTGCAAGAAGCCTGCAGTGCAGACGTAGCCCTATGTGGTACCCCGGCTCCTTCACCTCAGCCTGTGTTTGCTTCATGGGCCTGTCAGGTCACCCTCCAAGTTACAAGCCGTTTGGGACGGGGACAGTCCTTCGGCACCGGGACAGACCGGGCACAGCCAGCGCTGAACGGTAGCGAGGAACCTCCTCCCAGCCGGCATCGTTCTCTCAAAACCCAAAGGCCGCGTGCTACAGGGAGACGTCAGTTTCGCCCGATTTAGAAGGGGCCCCACAGCTCTCCCCTGGCTTATAATCTCGTTTCACCTCTATACGGCCAGCTAGTCGAACCTGTGAGCTGACACGGACTGACTGTTAAAAGGGAGAAAAGTCCCTTTCAAAATTGCGCCCTCCCCACCTTTACGAAAACCAGGTGGGCTGGGCCCAGTACATTCAGAACTCAGCTATTATGGAGGACAAAGCTTTTGAATGGGAGATGGATTGAAAACATAATTCATGCCTATGTCAGGTTCCCGACACCCATGGCGCTAAGTGGATTTAAACTCAGCGGGGGGCGGCAGCTGGCAGAATTTCTTCCTAATCTACATGGAAGATTGGCGAAGGCAACAGCAGCCGCCTGCAGTTTCTCCCCGCGAGGATGACTCACGTGTTAATTGCCTCTCGTCTTCCTGCAATAGGCTATTCCATGAAGCTGTGTCTTTGCCCCCCACAGAGGCCCAGCTGTCCAGCTGCACAGACCGAGCTCTCCCGCAGGGACTGTCCAACTGCCCCACGGCGAGGCGGCGGCGCGTCTCCCGCTGGCAGCGCTGTCCACACCAGGGCGTTTCCCAGCAGACGGGCAAGGGGCCGTGGGGCGGTTTTCTCCCAGCCGACTGACGAAAACGCCAGTGTGGACGCAGCCCGAGCGTCCCACATCCCCGACCCTCCCGCCCGGCTCGGACGAGCGATCGCTCTACGTGACCCACGCGCAGACAGGGCGACTCCGGAGCACTGCGATTTATTGTCCTTTTCGCCGCACCTTCGACAGCACAGTCAGCTCAGAAGGCGCGGTTCCCTCTTCCAGCACAAGCCCGGGGTTTGGCCTCTGGTTTACAGCAGCCTAAAGCCTTGCACCCCCCTTCCCATCGCCCCACGGGGATCGGCTCAGGCGCAGCAGGGAAAGGCAACAGCTGTCCTTGAACCACAGGCAAGAAGTGGGACGAGGCGATACAACTTACACGATTAAAATCCAAATCTTTCAAAAGGCGCGGTTCCCTCTTCCAGCACAAGCCCGGGGTTTGGCCTCTGGTTTACAGCAGCCTAAAGCCTTGCACCCCCCTTCCCATCGCCCCACGGGGATCGG